ACTTGGTCATGGGCTTCGGATTAAGGAACTCGAGAGCTACTTACACCAGGATGGTATCCAAAGTATTCCGAACAGTTCTGGGAAGAAACATGGAGGCATACGTTGATGACATGATTGTGAAAAGCCAAAAAGCAACTGACCATGCAGAAGATCTCAGGGAGGTCTTCAGTATCATGAAGGAGGTAAATCTAAGGTTTAACCCTAAGAAGTGCACCTTTGCTATCCAAGGAGGAAATTTTTTGGGTTTTATGGTGACAAACAAGGGAATCGAGCCTAACCCAGAAAAGATAAAGGCCATCTTAGACATGGACCCCCCTAGAAGTGTCAAAGAGGTTCAGGTCTTGACCGGGAGGCTGGCAGCCTTGGGGAGATTCTTATCCAGGTCAACGGTACGATCCTTGCCTTTCTTCCAAATCCTGAAGAAAAGTAATGGATTCCAGTGGACCCCGGAATGCCAAACTGCATTTGAGGACCTAAAGGCATACCTACAATCGGACCTGTTGCTCAGCAAGCCAGAGGTCGATGAAACCCTTACACTCTACCTAGGGGTAACACAAAGTGCCATCAGCTCCGTTTTGGTGCGTGAAGAAGGAACGATGCAAAAACCGGTCTACTACATCAGCAAAGTCCTTCATGGGGCTGAGCTCAGATATCCAGCCCTGGAGAAAACCGTGCTAGCAGTATACACGGCGGCCAAGAAGTTGGCACATTACTTCCAGGCTCATCCAATCAAAGTACTGTCAGACCTGGGAGTAGGCACTTTGTTCAGAACGGATAAAATAGCCAGGGTTGTAAAATGGTCCCTGCTAATCAGCCAGTACCAAGTACGTTTCCAACCTAGATCATCAATCAAAGGCCAGGCCCTGGCGGACTTCCTAGTCGAATGTACTGCCCGAGACCTGGCTGAATAAAAAAGGCACGAGGAAGAAGATTGGTGGACCCTCATGACCGATGGATCATCATCAGGGTCCAAAGGTTGCGGAGGAGGGGTGGTCCTCATCACCCCCGAAGGCTTCAAGACGTACCATGCCCTCAGATACAAATTTAACCTCTCTAACAATGAAGCTGAGTACGAGGCTCTACTGTCAGGCCTCCGGATAGCAATTCACTTCAAGGTCACCAAAGACCTTGAGGTTTTCTCGGCCGAGCAAAAGCCAAGATCTTGGGTCGAAGAATGGATAGAATACAAAGAGGACGGAACATTGCCTTCCAATGAGGGGAAGACAAAGTTGATTAGAAGATGGGCTCCAAATTACGTCATTGAAAATGGCAAACTATACAAAAGAAGTTACAATGACGTGCTGCTCAGATGTCTAAGGCCAGAACAAGCTCTGCAATTGATCAAGGAACTACATGAAGGAACTTGTTCATCCCACCAAGGTGCGTTCACTTTAAGTAGGAAAGCCTTGTTGCAAGGATATTTTTGGCCTACAATGATAAGAGATTGCGTGGACTTTGCGCGAAGATGTGAAGTCTGCCAGAAATTTCAAACAAATCCAGGCAGGCCTGCCACCCTATATCATCCTATCAGCACAGCGATCCCCTTCTCAAGGTGGGGAATAGACCTCATTGGGCCCTTCCCCCCGGGCTCAGGAGGTAGGAAATTTGTGATAGTTGCAATTGACTATTTCACAAAATGGATTGAGGCCGAACCAATGGCCACAATCACTGCGGAGCAATGCAAGAGATTTGTCTGGAGAAATATATTTTGCCGATTTGGTGTTCCCATGCAAGTTATCACAGATAATGGGAAGCAATTTGACTCCGAACCATTCAAAGATTTCTGCGCACAGTGGGGAGTTGAGGCCAGCCGAGCATCTGTTGCTTACCCCCAATGCAATGGACAAACGGAAAACGCTAACAGGACTATTGTTAGCGGCCTCAAAAGGAAGCTGGAGTCAATGGGAACAACTTGGGTGGATGAACTCAACAATATACTTTGGGCATACCGAACCACCCCAAGGAAGGCTACTGGTGAGACTCCCTTCACCCTAACTTATGGGTTTGAAGCCCGAGCGCCACTGGAGGCTTTAGTCCCAAGCAGAAGGGTTGAAAATTATGATCCTGAAAATAACGAGGACATGCTCAGGGCAGAACTACACCTGATTGAGGAGAGAAGGGACAACGCGTTCATCAAAGCTGAAAACTACAGAAGACAAGTTAAAGAATACCACGACGCAAGAGTTAGACCAAGGCTATTTTAGGTCGGGGACCTAGTTCTAAGAAGGAGGTCTGCTAGCAAACCTTTGGAGGGTGGAAAGTTTGCCAAAAAATGGGAAGGGCCCTACAAAATCAAAGAAGTCGTAGGACCTGGGACTTACAAGCTAAGCACTCTTAAATGGAAGCTGATAGAAAGAGTGTGGAATTCTGAACACTTGATGAAATTCTACCAATAAGTTTGTAATCGTGATTCAAAGAGTTATTCAATAAAAGTTGATTTTCTTTCACAAAGTCCTTGTAAAATTGCGAAGGTTGTTTTACCGCAAAAAAAAAAAAAACTAAGGCCACTACGCCTAATTTTGGTACTCGCAAAAAAGTACAAATTCCAGACTCATCCAAGTTCCGCAGCTCAACTTTGTCTTATCAAAAGACAAGAGTAGGAATACAAGATCTTTTTCAAGATCAGACAGCCTTATAAACAAAATCAAATTTCCTCAAAACAGGAAAAGACGGCCTTTCTCAAGGCCAAGACTGATTTACAAAGGCTAAGGATGAACTAAGAGAATTAACTTTGCACCGGAGAGGCCACCAGGCATCGCCAATTATAGATGAATATAAAGTATTTTAATAAATATTAAAAACTGTTCGATTTGATATACGATATTTCGATTCAAAACCAAGTCATTTAGTTCCTTTCAAAAAACCAAATCATTTAGTTTGATAAAAGCGGTTTAGGTTTTTTTTTAGAGAAACTAAGCGGTTTAGGGTTGGTTTGCAACTCCTTTTAAAAAAGCACTTCTCAACTTTTGGCTTTAAAAAAGCACTTATTTTCTCAAACACTACAACTTTTATTTTTCTCGGCTTCCGCGTCAAAAGTGCTTCTACTTTTTCTATTACACAAAAAACACTTATTTTACCAAACACTACCCACTTTTACTTTTCAAAATTACTTTTTTCTCAAACACTATCAACTTTTATTTAATCATTTCTCCTCATTTCATTAAAAAAAACATTTTTTTTAAAGATCCTTAATGTTGCAAACAGACCCTTAGTTGAATGAACAAAACTAACAAACCTCCCAAAGTCAAACTGGGAAGATTACCTGATCAGGGTAATTTCCGTATTGAGATAATTACCTATATAGGACTAAAAAATTAAAATTATGCACAAATAGGAGTTGAGCTTCCCGTTAGGTTTAGTGGGAGTAAAAAAGAGGTGAGCTGACATAAATGCCCTTAATGAATCTCAAGCTCATATGTTTATTACTCGTAATAATTTAAATCAAAATTATGTAGAAAACAAAATACTCCGTAGTACAATAGACAATCATCGACACAGCCTAGGGCCAATGACCAACTTCTGAGCCGCCATCGCACCATCATCCGCCGCCGCCGCTTCATCCGCCGCTGCCGCTTCATCCGTCGCCAGTGGTCCCTCACCTGTCGTCGCCACCCATGTCATCGTCGGAGCCACCTCTTCCACCACTGACCGCCGCCACCATTGTAACCTCCGCCAGACGCCGTCACCACCAGACACCTCCGCCACCATCTCCACAGCCGCCTCTTCCACCACTGGCGTGGTTGCATCGCCGCTAGGCACCTCCGCCGTCAGTCACCGCCGCCGTCTTGTGTAATACCGGCGGTTGTCGCCGGATCCGCACCACCACCTTTGGCTCCACTACCGCCAATCTAAAATATGTAAAAAGTGTTGTAAATATAATTTGGTCATTTGAATGTCATTTTAATGACATTTGTATTAAAACACAGATATGAATGTTATTGCCATCTTGACATTTTCAAGGCATTACAGACACTGGATTTGAAAGGGAAATTATTGTCATACACATGGCACTAAATGCAAAAATTATGGAAAAACATGACATTACGACTTGTATTTTATTGCCATCGTGATGGAATTAATGTAAACAAAATGGCATTATGTGGCAAAATAATATTTTCAAATGGAAAAAATGTCATTATTAGTATTGCATGAAGAGTAATATTTTTATTTAAATAGAGATTATGAAAATTTTAGATTCAAATAAAAAAAGCCTTAAAATAGAGATTATAAAATTTTAGATTCAAATAAAAAAAAAGCCTTAAAATAGAGATTATACAAACTTTCAAATTAAAAAAAGTCTGAAAAGTTAAAAAAGATGATCAAAATCATATGTCAAAAATTGTAATCAGTATTGTACGGAGTAGAATTTTAATAAAATGTTGAGAGAACATCAGTTGAAAGAAAATTGAAAGAGAAAACATAAAAAATAAAAAACAAAGAACGATAAAGTAGATCTGGAAAGAGGCAAAATGAAGCAAACATCAGATTAAAAAATTGGTTGTAACTTCACGCAGCAAATCCAGCAAACAACATAAGAGGTTGCCATCGAGTGAATTAAAAGAAGGGAGAAGAAGAAGAAAGAAGAGAAGGAGGAAGAGGAGGAGAAGAGAAAGATAAAAACTTACTGATGTGGTCGCCGGAATCACCGCTGCCCGCCGGTGGCTGGAGTTGGGGATAAACACTCACCATTCATCCTTATTATAGTCCGCTGGAGATGGAGAGGTAGTAGATCGGCTGAGAAGTGATGAGATAAAGATGGGAGGAGACAGAGGATGAAAAAGGGGATGGGGAAGAGGGTTGCGTGAGAAAAAGGTTAGGTGAGATGTGGGAAAAGCCTGACAAAATAAAGATGGAGTCTGACAAAATAAAAAGAAGCTTAATATACGAACAGGGGTATAACCGGTAAAAGAAATGGATCGGTTAACTAAAAACTCCTATTTTGAGAATAAATTAATAGGGACTCCTATTTTGGAATAATTTCATTCTTCAGCTCCTATTTAGGGCAATAACTTTTTCCGTATTTGGAATTTGAGCACTCGCAAACCCCTATTTGGCTAAGATTACTCGTTTCGAATTCATGGTCCACATACTGACACTCATATCCTGCTTCTTCTTCCTGCTAAGTTGGGACCTTCAATCCTCCTCCATCCACAGTAAGAAAAAAGAGGGAAACAAAAAGTAGCGATCATGTAAGCTCCTATTAATCTATCGAGCCATATAATAATTCATTAATCATTTTCCCTTGAATTATATAGTCTTGGCTTGAAACTGGCCATGTGTCAATTCATTTCAGGGAGGGTGGAATAAATTTGAAGCCAATGGACGCAGAACAACTAAGAGAGTGTGGTCATGAAATGGTTGATTTCATTGCCGATTACTACAAGAACATCGAGAGCTTCCCAGTTCTCAGTCAAGTCCAGGTTTTAGTTGGCTTTGGCAATCTATTTCTACTGGAATTATATATTTTTAGTGGATGATTGTTATATCACAGTTCTTGACTATATCGAAGCATTATCTTCACACAGCCAGGTTACCTGCGTGGGATCCTCCCAGAATCTGCACCTACTGACCCAGAGACATTGCAAGATGTTCTTCAAGGTAACACTTTATAGTGCTGGTATATTACCTTTGACTTTGATATGTTGGAATGAAATTGACTCAGGAGTGAGCTAAAATATTTAATTCTGTAAAGAATGTCACAAACAAAATATGAAAGAGATATACGGGTTATCATGCCTCTATTGGATAAGTTAATAGATGAGACTCCATCTTGTATGCTGTAGCATGATTTGATCATGTTCATTATGATCTAGTTGAGTGACCCGAGTAATTTATATACACAACTCCCTCCATTCTAAATTGCTTGTGCCAGTCTCCAATCATAAGTTAATTAAGCTCTCATTTAGTTTCTAACTTTGTGTACCAATGAGAGTTAATTTTAGCTACTAATCTTAGGGTAGCTCATGAATATGTTAATTTTAGCTACTAATCTTAAAATTACGTATGAAGAATAATTTAATGCTCAGTCAAGCGTCATAATCCGTATGACAAACGGAGGGAGTATCACATTTTAACTATATGATGATGAGTGATTGCAGATGTCCAGACAAAGCTATTGCCGGGAGTAACACATTGGCAAAGCCCGGATTATTTTGCATATTTCGGCTCTAATAGTAGTGTGGCAGGATTTCTTGGGGAGATGCTTATTTCTGGGATTAACATTGTGGGTTTCAGCTGGATAACTTCTCCAGCAGCAACTGAACTTGAAATGGTTGTTTTGGATTGGCTTGCTAAAGCACTCAAGCTGCCTGATGCTTTTCTTTCAACCGGTAATCAGTTAAAAGTCCTGGTTATTTAATATTACAAACAGGAACTCTTGTTTGGTACTTATGTAAAAATTGCATAATATTACGGAGTATATTACTATGTAAAGCACTAAGGCTTGGATGTTGTTGTTGTTGTTGTATATTACTTGTGGTCTAATTTGGATTCCAAAGGACATGGTGGAGGAGTAATACAAGGTACAGCGAGTGAAGCTGTTCTTGTTGTGCTTTTAGCCGCTCGAGACAAAATTTTAAGAGCACTTGGAAAAGAGTTTATAAGCAAGCTTGTGGTTTATGCTTCTGATCAGACTCATTCTTCTCTACAGAAGGCCTGCCAGGTTACCTGAACACATTTGCTTAATTTAACTTCACAAGGAAAAAAAACTCTCAAGAGGTAAAGATTGCCTGTAACACACTCTTCAACATAACTTGACAGTTTTCTCCCCGCTTGGTTTTGGACAGATTGCAGGAATATATTCAGAGAATTGTCGTTATATAAAGACAGACTCATCCACTGAATATGCTCTTTCTCCAAACTCACTCAATGAAGCTATATCTGAAGATCTGGCAGCTGGTCTAGTCCCCTTCTTCTTGTGTGCTACTGTAAGAAAAGATGCAAGAAGTTACTCTATTTGAATAATGAAGAAAAACAGGCTTTTAATCTCAGTTTGTTTAGTCCTGCTTGCTTCTCATAGACCCATCATGTTCTTGCAATAAGTCTTCATCTTGAATGTTCACATAACTTTCGTTTTAACAGGTTGGTACTACATCATCTACTGCCATTGATCCCTTACTTGCACTTGGGAATATTACGAAGGTAATAAACACCAACCAGAGGGTTATTTAGAGCTCAGCTCATTTCTATTTGGAGCTCAAAAGTTATACAGGGTAAACATGTATCCCTCCCCCTTTTCCTATAAAGGGGGGGGGGGTCTCCATGTTTAGTGATCCCTTAATCCCTTTCCTTCATTCCCTCTTTTCTCCACTCATCTCTCTCTTCTTCTCCCCAACCTAGAATAGCTTAAAAATTCCATTAATGGGAGCTCTTGTACAAGGTAACACCGGTGAGGAATATTAATAATAATAGAGTGGGCTAATTTTAGCCCGAAAAGTCCCGTGAATATCATCCTTTCGGGTTTCCACATCAAACCGAGCGTTATTATTATTATTATTATATTGTTGTTGTTGTTGTTATCATTATCATCATTATTATTATTATTATTATTATTATTATTGCTTTGGTTTTATACACTAAATTCGTGTTGGAATTAACCTCAAAATCTCTCATTGAAATACAGCAACCAAGGAGTTGTTTGAACTTTGAACCCTCTTTTCTTTCTTTCTTTATTTCCACATGAAAAACATACATTTACTGATGAATAAATACCACATCAAATTTGAAATTTACAATGTAAACATGTATATCTTCAATGAATTACGTGACTAGATTTTTTAAAATATATTTTTGCATCAGTTTTTCGAAATGATGAAATACAGTTGTTTAAGATATTACTATAACTATTATTATTATGATAATATATTTAAAATAACATGTTTTTCAATATACAGAGTAATGGGATGTGGTTTCATGTGGATGCTGCATATGCTGGAAGTGCATGTATATGTCCTGAATTTCGCCATTATTTGGACGGTGTAGAAGAAGTGGACTCGTTTAACATGAATGCACATAAATGGCTCCTTACAAATTTTGACTGTTCTCTACTTTGGGTAAAGGTAATGCATGTTTCTTGAAAGTAACTAAACTTCATAATATTCAATATCATGTCATTATGCAGACTGAGTATTTACAGGGGTATAAGGTTGGATCAACAATAAATAGTATCTGTTGTATTACGAACAGGACCGAAGTGCTCTGATTCAGGCTCTATCCACCAACCCTGAATATCTTAAGAACAAAGTAAGCATCTTTGTGAACTACAGTCTAGATTTCACTGATATTTCCTTCAGAAATACTTAAAAACCAGTTTCTCTTTACTACACCTTTTTCTTCCATCTTTCAATCATAAAATAAAATGACGTTCAGGCTTCTCAAGGAAACCTGGTGATAGATTACAAAGATTGGCAAATTCCTCTTGGACGCAGGTTCAGGTATTTTGGCATTTTTCCAAATTTTTATATGATTATGATGCACTAAAATGTTCTTGAATTTTACCTTCCACCAAAACTGTTTTTGGGGTTTCATTAATTATGGGGTATTATAAATTAACGTGCAGATCGCTGAAATTATGGATGGTTTTAAGACTGTATGGGTTGGAGAAGATTCAAGCATATGTGAAGAACCATATAGAATTGGCTAAACTGTTTGAAGAATTTGTTTCCCAAGACTCTAGATTTGAGGTAAGAAACTAAGAACCGGTTCAGTACAGCCAAGGAGCACTTTATTTATTACTCCGTATAATAAAAGCATAATAGTGATCAAGAACAGAGAATTTGTGTGCTTTAAAACTGATAAACCAATATTTGCAGGTTGTGACCCAAAGAAAGTTTTCATTGGTGTGCTTTCGGCTTCTGCCACCTCAGAAGGATGATGAAGCTCTTGCAGACAAACTCAACCGCGATCTTCTTGAATCTGTTAATTCCTCTGGGAAAATGTTTATTAGCCACACTGTTCTTTCCCATAAATATGTTCTGCGCTTCGCCGTGGGAGCTCCACTTACAGAAGAGAGGCATGTGGTTGCAGCTTGGAAACTTTTGCAAGATGGGGCTACTTCATTGTTAAGCAAAGCTATATGAGTGATTAGAGGATAATACCCCCCTCCACCCTCCATTTCTTTCACCAGTGTTCAATTCCACTAATTTGATTGTAACCAATTTAAAACCATCAACTTTGGGTTTAAAAGTTTAACTATTGAGTGTAGTAGAGTCGATGAAATTTCAAATCATAAATCTAAATCCCTAACTCAAATTTTAAAACCCAGCCAAGAAACAAATGATTCTCAATCGTAAGAACCATAATATCCGAATAGAAAGAGGAAAGAGATAAAATTGGAGAAGTTAAAGAGATAAAATATGGGTGAACAAACAAGAAGGTTAATTAGTTAATATAGTTGAACTGAGGACCCTGTTTTGATCAAACATAGTATATAGCTTATGAATATGTCAAGTTTGCCATAAAACGAGGAAAATGAACTTGGCTCATTCCTTTATTATTATTATATTTTAAGCGTTGAAACAGTCTAGCATCTTAAAGAGCAAGATTAATACCTTTAAGTGCAACAATTATCTCTTCAAATCACCTCTCTTGCATTTCTATCTAGATCATTCTTAAGAGCTTCACTCGTTTTTCCATTTCTGTTCTTATATTGGCCAACTAATTGTTCAAGCTGTGTGATGTACTGATGCGCTGTGTCATGCTTAATGAGTTAATGGCATATCTTAAACTCTTATACCAATTGCTATGAATAATCTTGTGAAAGGAAAGTGTTTAAAGTTCAAGCATATCTCAAGTGCCTACTGAGTTTGCATCAATTTTGTTGCACGGAGTATAATAATATTAATAGCAAAATTTTCAAATATGATTAAATTCCAAAATAGTAGGATCATCATGCTTTTATTCTATACAAATAGTTAATTATTACGAAGCTTAGAAAAGACTATCATTTTTAAAATTTGATAATATCAAAACATGAAAATAATAAGTTCTATTTTGAGATAAAAATGTGATAATTCTATTTTGGAATTCCTAAACATTTGTACTCCTATTTAAGACAATTTATTCAACATCAAATACTAACAATCAAAACAATTATAACTGTAGATGGGATGATAATGTGTCACCAATCCGTTCATTACATGCCATCTAAAACATACTACTCTCGTTCTAAAAAGAAGTTCACACTTTTCTTTTATGCATGTCCAAAAAGAAATTCTCATTTATACAAACGGAAACAACTTTTAACCAAAAAGTCACACCTACCCTTACTTTTTATCTATTTTTTTTTCTCGATTTCACATAAAGCAAGGGTATACGTGAAAAATCAAAACAATATTTTATCTTACATAAATATGTGTGTAGGTAAAACAGGAACTTCATTTCGGGACGGATAAAGTCAATGTTCTAAAAGGCGCTAGACGCTAGTCGGGCGCCAGCCCAGTGCCTAGCGCCTAGGCGGGAGCCTAGGCGGGAACTAGTCGGAGACATAAAAATTGCATTTTATCTATATTTTTGCATAAATATGTCAAGTAATATTGTATTTTGTGTGTGTATAAAATAAATATATACACATACATTAACAAACATGAATGATAGAATTATTACATTTAATCATACGTAGTATATGACAACTAATCACTTAACTTCATTGTGTTATAAATATAAATAATAATAAAATTTAGGTATATATACAAACATATAGAGTTTTTATCTTAATTTCCAACTTCATTTCTTTATATTTGTGGCTAAAATTAAAGTACTTATATCACTTAGAAAATAAAAATTAAAACGTAAAGTAATGTTCAGCTAATGTAGACGGCCTAGGCGACAAACCAATTAGTCGGAGCGGCTAGATGAAAATCAGGGCGCCCGACCACCGCATAGTGCCTAGGCGCGGACTAGTCGGACGCCTAGAACGATTTTTTGAACAGAGGATAAAGTAATAGATTAAGGATGTTTTTACTCCAAATTATTTCAGTCCCAAATCAGACCAGACTTTAACATACCACATTAGATTTCTGCAATTGTAAAATACTCCCTCCGTATCAAATTAATTGACCCGTTTGCTTTTCACGCAGTTTAAGACAATTACTGTAGACTTTATTAAAAGTAAGAGGTTTTTGGTACTGTAGCGACACTGTAGCGGTACTGTAGCAGTACTGTAGCTGCTTTTTGAGTGGGATTCTTTCCAAAAAGGGAAAGGAATCAATTAAATTGATACACCAAAAAAGGAAAGTGAGTCAAGTAATTTGATACGGAGGGAGTACACAAATATGAGATCAAACCTGATCAAACTAATCAGAAAATTATAATCGAAGTACACATCATAACAACACAAGAAAATATAAATGGAAGATTTAGTTTGAGAAGTAAAAACATCCTAACAGCTCAACAAAATGTAAAATGGAAGATTTAATTTGCCAAGTGAAAACATCCTTAACAGCTCAAGAAAATGTAAAATGACTAAAATCTAAGATTTATTTGACATTAGAGCCACAGGGTACAGAGCTGCGCAACAAGCAGCTTTAGCAATTCACAACACAATTGACACTGAGAGCTCAGCACAGGCGAAGAAGGATGCAGACCCTTACGAGGCGATTAGGGCATCGATGTCTGGACCTACCATCTTCACCTTCAATTTCAGCTCTCAAATCTTTCTATCCCATTTCCGATCAGTGTACCCTCTTCACATTTTAAGGACTAAAACATACAAGTCATCTTTTAATTTTTGCTCGTTTCCGCCGTTTCACCATTTTTTCCTTTTGTTTGTGTTCTCATTACTTTTCAGGCTATGGAATTGAAACTCCGCGTTACGCATCTGCCCTCGCCACCAAAGGTGTTGGGCATCTTGTTCGCAAGGGGACTGGGGGAAGGTCATCTGTGAGGTAATGCACTGTCCTGAACCTTTGATTTTTGCTCCGGTTTCTCTCGTTTTCCCTTAATCTGACGCCATTTGGTAAAAATATTCCCAGTTTAACAACCGTAGCTTATTATTTAATGTAATTATTATTCCATACATTCACAGTTTTAAATGGGGCTTTCCTGACATTTATAGAATTTGTTCTTGATTGTCTCCTTTATGTACACTCTTCTTGATTGATACTTCTTTCTTGAAGTTGTAGTTTTGAGTTTTGTGTTATCCATATGCTGATGGAATAAAATGTGTTGTCTGAGGCAGTGGAATTGTTGCAACAGTCTTTGGAGCTACAGGTTTTCTTGGGCGTTATCTTGTGCAACAGCTTGGTAAAGTGCTGATCAAATTTCCTTGTAGTTTTTGCTTTTGCAGTTGATGTACAATCTAGAGTATGGATAATGATCAAGTATGGTAGGCCTAAGATGCACAATCTCAGGCCTCTTTCATATTTAGAAATTTGACAACTTTAATGGTCTAATTTTTTTTGTTCATTAGTATTAACTATTGATTTTTGCTGTTAGATGTAAAATTTGTAAAAAAAATAGACACCCCATACTCACTTTTTCACTTTAATGCTAATGTAACGATTAATTCATCATTAAAACAGATCTTTATTTGTTAAAATTTATTTGTTAAATGATCTAACAATTAAAATTAATACTTGATATGAATAAGTAAAGAAATTGGGATAATTGGATTCATCTTTGCCCTAAAATGAAAGAGGGCCTTAGATTATGCATCTTAGGCCTACCTTACATAATCATTCTCCCTGGAGAAATATATAGAGTATGTTCAATGAAAAACCCAAAGGCATCACATCAAATGTGTGTTTTAGAATTTCTAACTAGCTGCAGTTTATGCCTACAGCTAAAATGGGTTCTCAAGTTTTGGTACCTTTCCGAGGTTCTGAGGATTGTCACCGGCATCTGAAGTTAATGGGTGACTTGGGTCAGGTAAACTATTTTTACCTGTTCTTTTTGCTCATACAGTCACATGATGATGTGTTTCCCATGATGATGTTTTTGTTCTCCATGTTTATAATTTTCTGCAGATTGTTCCGATGAAATACAACCCCAGAGATGAAGATTCAATCAAAGCAGTGATGGCGAAAGCTAATGTTGTCATCAATCTTATTGGTGTGTGATCTGTCTTGTCGCTCAATAGTTTGTGATGTTATGGTTACTCTCTTGGATATATCCTTAAATTTCGGTCCATTTGAAACTCAGAAATGGTAGGAAAAGAAATAGAGTAAAGTATTGTAGAAATTTGCGGAAGAAAAAAAAGCTGGGCTGGTCCGGGATAGGGGTAATAAAACATTTTTTAAGCTCAAATTTTTAAAGAAGTTTTCCTAAATAGGAGTAAAAGCAGTGTGAAATTCCTAAACAGGACTGCAGGAGTACTATGCCCCTCCCAAGTAGGAGTAATTATTGTCATGTTTGGATAATACTGTCAATTGTGGAAAGGCAAAAATATGGCCGTATAATTTCAGCATGTCAGTGAGCTACTCTATTTATTGGAAAACCATAGTACTCCTATTTTGGAATTCAACATTGTTTTTACTCATATTTCGGGAAAATTCTTTTTTTTTGACATATGTTAAGTTTGCCTTTGTTTATTTATTTTTTATTTTTGTCTGGAAGGTAAACCTCTGTATGAGAGGAAAGGGAGGTGCACCTTATCACTTTTACCAATGAATATTTCTAATGCAAAATTGAGGAGAGGGATATCCTCAGGTCTAAACAAAGTGCCAAATTAATGGGGAAGATCATCAATTCATCATACAATAATAGAGATTAGGAGAGTCATGTGGTGCCATTGTGTGTGCAATTTGATTTCCTTCACTGTAATTGTGAGTACTGAGTAGTTCTACTCTCCATCTAGATGAGCGAGTAGTTTTGTCAAGTTTAGCCCAAGTCTTGTGGGGGGGGGGGGGTCTTTCTCGGGCCTATATTAACCAGCATTTTGGCTCAGCTTCGACCATTATATTAAGGTTGTGCTTTTGACATAGGTTCAAGCCATATAGTAGAGCTTTACATTAGATCTTTTGGTAGTTCCAAGTATGAAGGGTGATGGCAACATTAGCTGTACATTTTTTGCGTACCAGGTAGGATCATCCCAAGTGATGGGCTGATGGCACATTATGCCTTCCAAAATTTCTGAAGAATAGCATCTTTGGTGGCAGAAACTGCCTAGTGGTAACTATCCCTAGCCATGTCCCACCAATGTGTGCAAAGCCGCCTTAAGTTCTACGAGGAGCCCACTTTGATATCACACAGTTTTCCGTAGTATTTCCAAAGATTAAAAATATCTAGGCATTGAAAGAGTCAAAGAGGCAATGGATTGA